CCAGCCTGGTAACTGAGGTCTTACACCAGCCTGTAACTTGCACATATATGTGCCCAGTTGTCTGTAAAACGTGTGGGCAAACACAGTATTGTATGCATGAGTACTAGCTAGCAGTCGACTGAACATACGGTGATGTCTTTTCCAGTGTCATAATCGATCCTCTTATCTTGTAGATGGGATTGGATTTGCTGAATTTCATACCACATAATACAACTTCTTCTGGGACATGTGACAATACATCTGCCATCTTGAATCTGACTTTTGAGAAGACAAGAGTTATCTTCCGCTTTGCATTGGTGAGAATCTCTAGACAAAGTGTGTAGGGTCTGCAGGACTTCTCATGGGAAAACTAACTGGGGCAAGTACAAAAGACAAAAGATGCAACTAGTGGCAAGGGGAGTAAATAATTCCTTTGGTTTTAATACTAGGATTTACAGGGTTTAATACTTAGTAACAGTTGTGAGGAAAGAATATATGCATGTATATATAGACAGACATTATTTTGTTTGGAATGGGAATTTCTTTTAAGATTATATTGCCTACTCTCTAAAGCTTCTTGCCCAAACTGGGAACGGTTCTCCTGTAGCAGAGGAATAGCCAGTGACAAATGGGCATCTCATCTATTTGCACAAGTCTGGAACTAGTCTTAAGTCCTCATTAATATTCTGTGTACAGCCCAAGAGTCATGTGTGCTTGTCTCAGGGACTCCTGTGATGGTTGGAAATTCTGTTTCCTGCAGTCGGGCCCCAGTGCTGTATTAGAGTTGTGTACCCTTGAGGGCTGAATCCACCGTGTGTGTTGGATTCATGCCGCTTTTAATACTCGCGTGGTTGATCAAATGCGATCACTAGACCTGTTGCTATTAAATGACTCTCCACATTTCCATGGGGTACTGAGTTGCTTTAAGGCTATTATCTGTAGTGCAGGTGAGATTGTTGCACCAGCCTGAGTGGGACTATACCTTTAAAGCCAGCAGTCTGAGGGGTGACAGTCCCCCTTTCTCTACCCTTCTTCCCTACTCCAGAGTAAGTTTCTGGAAGGTGCATACCTTCTGTATGTACTTTTGTCTCTAAAAGTGCAACTAAGCCCGCCCTTTGGATGCTAATCCCAGTTGTGGAATACCCTTTGAAAAACCTTTCTCAAAATGCATGTAGAATTGAACAGGAATGTTAACAGCTTATGTTGTACATTTTTAGCTTAAATGACAACTACTGGTTTGTTTTTGGTTTTGTTTTTTTTTTTTAAAGAATGCAAGTACTGAAAAATTCTTCCTGCAAGGTGTGAATGTAAGCACAACTCTGCCTTCTGAAGCAAAAGGTAGGGACTAGTCTACTTTCAGTCAGTACTACTATAAATGTTAAGGGTTGCTTGCATTAAATAACGTATTAGAAATGTTGGGGGTGAAGGCATTGAATTTAAGCTCTATGAGCTTACAGCTCTTCAGGATTCTGTAATAAGACTTTCTCTTACACAGTTCCAAAGTTTGAAGCATCGAACAACAGCATGAGTGAGCTGAGAGCTACAGTAGGGAACTCATACAAGTGCAGTGCAGAGGAGAATCTCCAGGTCACAGACAAAGCCCTTGTCAATATATTTAATGTTCAGATCCAGGTTTTCAAGATTGATGGAGACAAATTTGGGGCAGGTAAGAGGTTTATATTTGGGGGGGAACCTAAGATTTGTGAAGTGCACTTTTATATAAAACATATAATACTCTGCAGTCAAATGTCAGCTTGTGGGCACCATACTTAGTCTCTGCATGGCCCTGTTACAGATGTTGTGGGGTGTAGTGTGAGAAGTGTGTAAAAAGCTTTGAAATACCTCAGATCTGTTCCTTGTGGTACAGGGAAGAGTGTTAACTTTCCCTCCTAACCATGTGCAGACAGTTAGTAGGAAAGGGACAAAGTTCTGGGATGTTCCTGACTTTCTTAGTTAATGCTGTCTTTTGTGACTGTGGTTAAAGCAAAACGGCTAGGGGAGGTGCTGTGTGGATAGATTTACAATGGCTAAGCTTGTGTGTGACAGTAACAGCTCTTGAGAAGGAAATAGATGTTATACATCTGTATATTGTGCATATGACTACTACTAGAAAGCCTTCATCCTGAGTGATCACAGTTAGTGGACCTGGCTTGCTTTTGGTTGTTGGCAAGCTAAGCTAGAAGTTCACCTGAGCCAGTTTTATATTTGTGCTGAGAGCAGAAGCTTGAAGTGCTGGATGTAGCCACCTGTTGTGTGCTAGTACCTGACACGAATTTCTTTCTCTCCCCTCAGTGGAAGAATGTCAACTGGATGAAAATAACATGCTGATCCCTATAATAGTTGGTGCAGCCCTTGCTGGTCTTGTTCTAATTGTCCTGATTGCTTACTTGATTGGCAGAAAGAGGAGCCATGCTGGATATCAAACAATTTAATGACTTGCACTAAAACCCAGTGTAGATGAAAAGCGATTGCAGGAAGCTGGGAAAAAACCCACACACACTTCCCCTGAGCTAAGATTGATATTGTAAGGGAACACCTTTTCTTGCAAATTGCTGCTTCTTAAAGTCTGCTTTATTAAATGTGAAATCATCTTGCAGCGTTAAACTATGCACAAAAATAACTTCTGAAAATTCTGGTGTTTAATTTTGCTAACTAGTTTAAATATTTACCTACCTAGAAACAAGCTAAATGTTTTTAAGGGTGCTTGTTTGGAATTGGCACAAGGTAATGTCAGCTTCCAAAGAGGGATGTTGCTAATTCACACTGACTCAATTTCAGAACTCTTAACAAAGGGAAAAGGTTTGTTCTTCATACTTCTGCCATCCAGCAATGATGTTAATTATACTGATGATGCATTTAAGGAAACTTAGTAACAACTGACAAAATTGAAATTTCAAACCTAAACTCCACCTTGTCTCTTAGGTGTGTATTTTTTACTAAGCTTTAAACTCAATGCCTGGCATATGCAGGGTGTGAACAACGCAATACTCAAACCTTACAGGAACTCTTTATGATTGGACAACTCCCCTGTTTGATATTTTTGATGCTCTGCCAGCTTGTTAGGAGCTGGTACTTTTTTAAAATGGGTGTTATTTTTATTTACGTTTTTTTGTAAAGTGATTTCAGTTTCTTCTGTTGGAAGGTCCAGAGAGATCCTGTTACTGCACATGTGTACAATATAGATCTCAATCTGCTGATTCTCTTGCTTTAAACTTGGCTGGGGGGTTGTACACTTTAAGGATCAGTTCTTATGTATGCATTGCCTGTAACAATGCTAATAAAGACACTTTTTTTCTGTATATCTTAGTGTTGCTGTTCACTCTTAAAAACATTTGACCATTTGGTAAGTGCTGAAGTCTTGGTTTGGCTCTAGTTTGGAAGCTTTAAAAACTCCTCACTAAGGATTGATGTTAAATGTTTAAGGTTTTTTTTTCTCTCTGTGGCACAGAGGTGAGGCTTAACTGTGTATGTTTTGGACTTTGTGCTTGGAAATAAGCAAAGCTTCTGCATATCAGTAACCTGAGATCTGGAGAAGATAAGTTAAATTGCTGCTTGCTGAGAAATGTCAGTATATTGGTCTGCCCTGCTAAGTGTTGCTTTCTGAAAGTGCTGCTAAAATACTTGGTAAATGACATTTTATGTTTTATTTTGAAGTTGGATTCTTACCACAGAGTAGGAAATGCATGTCTGCTGAGGTCTATGTGTGTTGTAATGTGCTTGGAAATGAAACTTTGCATTTAAAGCTTTCCTGACTCCCTCCTGCAGTAATGTTTTGGGGTTAACAGTACTAGCTACACAGGGCAGGAACTGAGGCCCACTGAAACATTGCACAGAACATTTATTCTTCTGACAAGGAGAACTGAACACATGGCAGTAAGGCCGGTATTCTTTGGACCATCTGCCCTGCTACCTTGAAGGTACCTGGAAATTATGGATTTTGCCAGTGGGGAATAAATTAGTATTTCCTAACACCTGCTGATGTACTAGGAGCATGGTACTGCTAATGTCCCTGTGATTCAGTATGCAAGGAAAGGATAGGACAGCTTGGAATCATACTGCTGAGTAGCTGTCTCTACTTGTCTAGAAAAGAACTCATTTACTTCTTCTGAAAAGTTTTAAGAAACTCAATCTGCAGGGTGGGGGGAAATAATAAGTAAGCCTTCCTTGCCAAGGAAGGAAGATAGCTTGGAACAGAGTCTGAACAGGAGTATGGTGTTAAAAGGTGAGGCTTTCCACATTAGTTGGTTCAACGGGAAGAATAAAAAAGGATGAATTGATGGCCTCTCCAGCCTTCCCTCCCTTCCCCAGCAGGAAGGTGAGGGAAAGGATGTGGCCAGGAGAGGGCTCTGTAAGGACAAGAAAGCTAGTCCTGGGCACCCGGTGCAGCAGGGCTGGAAGTGCTGGCTGCTTCCCTTGTTTCTGCCCAGGGGTAGGGTATTTAGACTTGCATTAAGGGGTGGGATATTAAGGTACAGCTTTGGAACTGCCCACTGTCTCACCCTATCAAGGAAAAAGTCTGTTTGTGGGGATCTTTACAGGTGTTTTTCTCCCAAAATGTTTAGGGACACAGGTATTTGAAGATATATAGCACCTGTAGTGCAACCTCAGTCCACCAGCACAAAGTAGAAGTACAGCATTGACTTTCAGCATCCCTTACAAAGTGAGAAATGCTACTTCCAGATTTGAGTCAAATTACTTACTACCTACTGTGCTAGAGCTAGAAAACACTGAATAAGCATATAAAATATTAAGAGTGGTTACAGAGGAATTTTTGCTGCTGCTTTCTGTAGCCTGGACTTGTGTGTGGTCCCTGCTGCCTTTACCTGAAGAGCTGTTACACACTGCATAGAGTAACTGCTAGTGAAGATAAAGATCACCTTCCTCATTGCTGCCTTGCCCTGCCCTTTGCCATATTTATTGAGTTCCTGAAGTGACAGCAGCGAGGCAAAAGGAAGATGTTTGTGGCAGTCAGGAAAGACATCAGATATCTTACTCTCTTCACACCAAGAAACAGGTTGTGACAAATTAAATTAATTTATTTTGTAAAAATTATAGCAGTGTCACAGTTAATACAGTAGGAAGGATATGTAATTTTATACACCTGTTTTCTTTTAACATTACAAAATGCCCTGAAAAGACAAGGACAGTGACTGTTTTTTTTTTTTAAAAGGAGTATCCTGACACTGATCACATTCTACTCTGAAAACATTTTAATCCTTAAAAAAACCCAAACAAACAACAAACCAACAACAGAACCACCACCTCCAGTTATGAAGTCTGACATACAGTACAAAGTGTTAACAACACTTACTTGAAAGGCAGGAAAAATTGGTCGTGTCAGTTAACTCATGGAAAGCTTAAAGTGTGCTTTTTAGTCAGTGCAAGTAGAGGAATGTGTCAGTTGCTGTAGTATCTGACCACCTGGTTAAATCTGGTGAGTTATCCCTGAGAAAGCAACTTCTCTCTGCAAGTCTCTCGGAGTTTGTTGATTGTTGCCATGGACAAGCTTCCAGGGTCTGTGAATATTTTCTGGGGGCAAAAGGAGAAAATTCTTAGTTAAAATGCTGACTTTGGACAGTGTGCTGGAATTCTCATGTCATTCTCCCCTAAGTGTGACATCCCTGCTTTGATATCCATACAGTGAAAATGCTTACTGCTCTCTGGCCTCCTTGTAACAGGGCGGCATCTTCATCTACGCTGCTGGAAAGATGTGGTAAACCTGCAGCACGTAACAAGTGCTGTAAGTGACACAAAAGCAACAATACAAAAGCTAGTTTGAATACAAGTGTCCAGTTAAAATTATTTTAGAAGGCATTTGTGTTGGTGGATGGCAGGCATATTTAGAACATATTAAGCCATCCTGGGTAATGCTGCAAAGCAGCAGTGTATTGCTAATGTGGTGCTGGCATAGGTTGTTCGGGCTCTGGAACACATACTGTTGTATGTATGTATGTTTCTACTGCAAAAAATCAGCCTTAATCCCTTGCTATACTGCCTTTGCCCTTTTTTTCCACCAGGCTTCCCAGGGTAGTAACATATATGGATGTAAGGACTGGATCATTTCAAAAGCTGTCACACACCTGTACTACTCTTTTTTGCTCTGACTTGTTGCTTAAGAACAATACATTGGTTTCCACTACTTCACCTAAAGCTGCTGACAGAACAAGACTATGAAGCAAGCTGCAAGTTTATATACTTTAATCTACAGTCCAGATGTGTGGGCTCCTCAGTTCTCTGTAGTGGCAACTGACAACTCTGGAGCTGAGATTATAAATGAGCCAGTTCTGAACAGCATTCTGGTAAGGAAGTCTGCATTGCATTAAACTAAACACTAAGTTTTTGTTCAGGGGGAGGGAGGTGTAGAATACCCAACTGTCATCACCTCTACTGGCACCAGTGTCTGTACTGCTGGGGGAAAAAAAAAAGGCAAACCCAAACATACACATTTCAAAGTTACCTAAGAACCTAACCTAAATTGTTTAATTGCCTTGAAAGCCCCCTCACTACAGTAACCAACACAGTTAAACTGTTTTATTCAAGGTAACTGCAAGAAAAAGCTAGTTGATTCTCCAGAAACAGCTGCTGTGGAGTGTAATGTAAT